CGGGGCGCGGCCGCGGGCAGGCCCTCCTTCCAGTGGACCCGGGTCAGGAACACCCACGTTCCCAGAGGCTGGGCCGCAGGCCCCGGCGGGGACGCCGCCCTGGACTACGACTACGCCCTCCTGGAGCTGAAGCGCGCGCACAAGAAGCGGTACATGGAGCTGGGCGTGAGCCCGGCGCTCGGGAAGCTCCCCGGCGGCATGATCCACTTCTCGGGCTTCGATCACGACCGGGCGGACCAGCTGGTCTACCGGTTCTGCAGCGTGTCCGACGAGTCCAGCGATCTGCTCTATCAGTACTGCGACGCCGAGTCGGGCTCCACCGGCTCCGGCGTCTACCTGCGCCTGAGAGAGCCCGAGAAGAAGAACTGGAAGCGCAAAATCATCGCGGTGTACTCGGGCCACCAGTGGGTGGACGTGGCCGGCGCGCAGAAGGACTACAACGTGGCCGTGCGCATCACCCCGCTCAAGTACGCGCAGCTGTGCCGCTGGATCCGCGGGGACCGCGCCGACTGCGCCTACGGGTAACGCGACCCGGCCGGCGACGGGGCAAATCCCCCTCGGGACCGGTCCTGGCTACTGTAGCAAGAGCACGTCCCGGGGTATGCCTGGACTTGAACTCGTCTTAGTAGCATTTCGACATTCCTATTAAGTTACTTTTTTAAAATTAGGAGATGTTCCTACATTTAAAAACTGTTTAGGTCAAGATATGGACACTAGGATGGGCGTTTCAATGCCAAGCGTATATTCTTCTTTACATGGTCGTAAGTTTGGTTTGTGGGGGGGGGGAAATGGTTTGTTTCTGCCTTCTTAAAAATTAGACACTCATTTACCACTTCAAGCCGGTACTATAAATAATGTGATTTCTCAATGGACTTATTCTCAGGGTCCTACTCTAAGAAGAATCTAATAGCATGTCGGTTACATGTTAAGTGTGAAACTGCATAGACACAGGTAGTCAGTAAAATTTAAAATCGAGTTGGAGACAAAAATTTACAACAGCACTACTCTGAGATGGACCCATTCAGTTCATGACTCAGTGTTTATATTATTTTCTCTTGGGTCTGAGAAAATTAAAAAAAATTTTTTTTTAAGAATTATAAGGAATAGCTTTATCAACCAAACTATCAACTATTTTACTGCTTTGAAAAATATCAACTGAAGTGTGTATTATTTAAAATGGGAAAAATGCTTCGTCCTATGAAATAAATTTAGTTTAAAAAATAGGGAAGCTGAGATTTTTTTAAGATCTCAAGCTTTTATTTAACTAGAATTCCAACCATGGACTTTCCATGCATGCGTAGGGGAGACAGCTCAACAGTTGTAGGTGATCACTTGTTGAAAGGCACATCATTTTATGCTACACAATATCCTATGTATTTTTAGGACAAGCTATTCTTGTCTTTTTCAAGAGAGCCCTTTTTCCCCCTTGACAAAATTCAGTTTTCCATGTAGGGCCGTAGGCAGATTATTTTGGCAAATTCTCTGATTAGTAATTTTAAGTAACTTCCTTAAAATAAATATGATTTAAGAATAATTTTTAAAAGAAGGTTCTGATGATTTTCATTAGGGACCAAGGCAGTTCGCTGACTCTGGCCATTATGGCAGCCTCAGCCGACAGAGAGAGTCCAGTGGCTGCCCTGGGGCACTTGCTACATATTTCCTGAATGAACAGATATATTTTAGCTGAATGGCCGTAAAAGGGCATTAGTTCAGGCTCTTATTTTTATTTTTTAAATCCTCACCTGAGGATATGTTTTTTATTGCTTCTAGAGAGGGAGGGAGGGAGAGGGAGGAAGAGATAGAGAGAAACATCGCTTGCTTGCCTCATGCATGCACCCTGATGGGGGGAATTGAACCTGAAACCTGGGTATGTGCCTTGACCGGGAATTGAACCTGAGATCCTTTGGTTCATGGGATGATGCTCGAACCACTGAGAAACACCGGCCAGGGCCAGGCCCTTATTTTTAAAGGGTTTTAGTGACTTGTAGTTTAGCGAACCATAAAATTCAGGAGTTGCAGGCCTAGTCGCTGGTCTGTTCTTCCCGGCGGTTTCAAGGGCACACATTCTCTTCTGTCACAACACACCCAAGCCACTGATTTTGCCGGAGTTCGAATTTATTTTATTTGTTATTATTTTTATGAATGGGGAGCTAAGTCCTTGATTAGTATGCAAAGGAATATTTGATCAGATTATGATAAACTGATTTTGTAAATGGTGTCCAAAATAGCTGAAATTCAATACATGTGTACGTTCTTTTATAATGTGAGTTGGTTAAAAATCATTCAATAAAAAATTTAAAAAGTAAATTAGTTATAACTCTTATTGTATCTGTATATATGTTTTTTATGTAGGGTTTCAGCAAGTATTAAATTGTCATTTATTTAAAAATGATTCTATTTATTCTAAACACATTTCACTGAGTAGTATTTTACCATTGGTGCTAGTGGAAGAGGGCTACTGACTCAAAAGTTTTGTTCAGATCTTTTTTGGAAAATCATCTATATGATCACTGCAATGAAAGATGTTTCAAGGCGAATTTTGCACACTTATTGCAAACACACACACACACACACAAACAAAACTTCATCTTAGATTCTTACAAATTAATTCCTGGGATTTGAGTAAATTCAGAGTAATTTAGGGTGTTTAGTGTCAATAGTTTGGTGTTTAAGGTTAAATTCTGAATATACATAATTTCCTTAAAATCGTTGTGCTTCTCAAAAAATATAACATTTAGCTCATTTTCTGTGCAGAGGTTTATTTGGTTCTCCCATTCTTTTCTCTTTTCTAACTGAATTATGAATTTTATATGATCTAAATGTTACGTTTAATAGATTTGAAATAGAAAATTAATTTGAATTCACTTAGCTAAACACACTGACACACACTGATACCAACTGTGTGCAAAGGACTATACTGACTTATTGTTTAGAGAAACTTATCAATGGTTGAACTGAAATAACTATTCACAAAACAACTGAAATTTAAAATTGTGGGTTTTTTTCTTTACCCAAATAACATTTTGTTTTGTTTTATGTTTTTTCTTGCTCAAATGGATAAATGTGTGGGCAGAATAATACTTTTCTTTTCCTTTTTAGTATGATTTTTAGTTAAATCCCAAATGTTCATTTTTAAAAAGATTTAAACGCAGGTATGACTAAAATCAGCATTCTGGACAAATCATTACCCTTTTCATTTGTAGATCAAAGAATTTTTTGAAATTTTATTTTATGGAAAGAATGTCAGGGTTAGAAGAGACCATAAAGATTACCTAGTTTATCTTTGTATTTTAGATTTTAATTTCCCTTCACAGCAATTTCTTTAACTGGTCATCCAGTGATTAAAAAACCTAAATATTGTTTAGCTATTAAAATTAATTCAGTAATATAACATTGTTTTAATTTGTTAGTTCAGTTTGCTACAAACTGTAAATATTATATTGTGTTTCTCTTGATTTTATCCCAATGTTGATCATTTCATTATTCATAATTCTTTGGTCTTATGCTAGTAAACAACTATTTATTCTCCTCAAAAGTGAATTGTGATCATAAATTAAGAATATTAAGAAGTAAGTCCATGGAAGGAAGCACTGGGCATGAATCTATAGCTATAAATAACCTGGAAATAGTATCATTTTTTAATATGGTTTCCCTATAACAATTACATTTTGGTTACTGATTTTATAAAGCTCAAAAACTATAAATACTGCACTTTCTAATATCTCCAGTTAATTAACAGAAGAATCTTTTTAATAAACTGGTTTTTATAGCTAGAATTGCTCTTTCTTCAATAGGCAAATTATAAAGTTTAGAAGGATTTAGGAGATTTGGTCTAATTGATGGTGAAATCTTGTTCTCATCAGATGGGGTCACTGTATAGGATTCACAGTTTTCTATCTATTTATCATTCGACAAAGGGGAGAAGACACCCTCAAATGACTTTCTACTCATACATAAAGTCTTTGGAGTAAAATTCCCCGTTTATTCCTTTCTGTAATTAACAGATGGCAGTTCCATGCGGTTAGTGAAACTGCCTGGAGCATGGTGGTTAAAATAACTTGTGATCCCGATCTGGGCTAATTTGCTTCACCCACAGGTGAGGTGTTATCTTACTCCGCTGGGCTGCCCCAGCAAAATACCGCACGCTGGCGGCTTAGACAACAGAAATGGACAACTGGGGGTCCCGGCAGGGTGGTTTCATTCTGAAGCTCCTTCCCTTGGTTTGTGGGTGGTTGTCTTGCAGAGTGCTCACACACCCTCTGCTTGGTTCACTCTTAGAGAGAGAGCTAGTGAGCTCTTTCGTGTCCCTTTATAAGGGGACTACCCCCATCACGAGGGCCCCAACCTCATGACCCCGTCTAACTCCAATGACCTTATTAAGGCCCCATCTTTGAACATATGAATTGTGTGTGTGTGGGGGGGAAACATTCAGTCCATAATAGGTGTCTGTTCTAAACCCACAAGCTGCATCTTGGGCCAGGCCGAGGGAACTCACAAACATCCCAGTCACCAGAGGAACTGGGGAAAGGGGTGTGGGTGGCAGCTCAGGCCAACCAACAGCCTTCTCCCCGCTTTCATCATCATCATCTCAAGTGCTCACTTCTGGCACAGAGAAGGCAATTAACATATGCTTAAAATATCAAGTATTCATTTAAGGCCTTACTCTGCTACATGATAAGGCTTAAAAAAATCAGGTATTATCTTAAGTGTATATTGTATTAATGATATAGCTACATATTTAAATAATGAAAATATTTATTATAATGAGAATTTTACTCTCAGAATATTGCAGCACTAAAGGAGTCAGGTATTTGCCACATTCCCTGCTGACTCGAGTTTCTGATAAAAATGCCTTCAAGCTGCTGGGGCCCAGGCTCCTGCAGTCGCTTCTCATTCTTTCCTTCTGCCATGTGCACGTTTAGTAAGATAACCTCTGCCTCAGAACTTGCCTCCAAAATATTTTTGTTTTAGTAATATTTTAAATTTTCTAATAATATCTTAAGATCCCTTCACTTTTTTCAAGCACTGCAACAAGTTGGCTACTTAGAACATCTACTTCGATTCACAATGCAAGCAATATGTGAATTTATCCATTTTTGCCTTCAGTGCGGTTTTACCGAACTTTGGCTATGTGAGCACATCTATATTTGTAAATGTTTTACTGATACTCAAACTTGGACTTACATTTTTAAAATTCTCTGTGTATGTATTCATATCCTGAAAAGCGTGTATATTTTCACGCATGTGGCTTAGATAAGGGAAATACTTTGGAATTTGTTCATACAACTGAATACAGATGATTTTGCAAAGTTCCTCTAGGCTTTTGCTCATCCTAGCTAGTACTCATTTCCCTACTTTTATCTATATTTCACATTTAATTTCATCAGTAATTTGTAATATACCATACAAATAATGCCTCACTTATCTAGAATTTCTTTTGCTGGTAATTTCAAGTATCCAAAATATAAGAAAAAATATTAAGCCAAAAATTTAATCTCTAATAACCAAAATGGATGACATAAAATTACTTTTACTCTAGAAATAATCTTAACATGTTTGGAAATCTGATTCCCCAAACTAAAAGTAGAAGGCAGCTGCCAAGGCAAGTCTACGACAGTCCCATGAAGTGACAGCCTGACAACACACAGACTAAAGGACTTAAAAAAAAAAAGGTATAGCCCGGCCGGGTGTGGCTCAGCGGTTGAGCATCGGCCTATGATCCAGGAGATCGAGGTTCGATTCCCAGTCAGGACACATGCCCGGTTTGTGGGCTCCATTCCCAGTAAGGGGCCTGCAGGACTCAACCCATCAATGACGACTCTCTCATCATTGATGTTTCTATCTCTCTCTCTTCCTCTCAATAAATCAATAAAGACATATTTATATATATCTATAAAAAGGGATAACACTACAAAGTTACAGTAGTTTAGAGCTACTGAGTTTTGGTGCAAGTGGCCATGTGAAAGCATACCAGTGTGTGTTATGTTTCTAATGAGAGCATAATCACTATAACATTTAGTTATGTCCAGTATGAGTTTGGGAGGGCATTACGTTATAGAAAGATTTTTATCAAAAAAAGCTTAGCCTATTTTTTAGAGCTGTTTAAAAGAAATGGTAAAAAATAATTTTTAAAAAATGAAAAGAAAAAGAGAAACATCAGTGGTCTACAGAATTGACTTGCTTTTATTCTCAAATCTAATTCTAATCTTAAAAGTCAAAATTCTTTCCCCAGTATTTTATTAAACTCCACAAATCCTAAACTGTTAAGATGTTTGTCTATTTTGAATATTACTGTGTGTTGAGAGTTTAGGATTTGTCACCCGCTGCACCCAGTTTATGCTCATGCTCAGCACTGTGGTTTATAGACACACCAACTCGGGCGTAACGGAAACATTCAGGAGGTGGAATAAAATACCTTTAATTGTCTAACCATAGTAGACTTCCCTGTATAAAGTAAACATTCACCAAAAATAATATCCTGGTAGCTGTATAGAAATTACCTAATATAATTGAAAGAACAGAATATCCTAAGAGCAGACATCAGCAACCATTTATCCTAGAAGAACTAGTGTGTGTGTGTGTGTGTGTGAGTGCGTGTGTGTGTCTGAGTGTGTGTGTGTGTGCGTGAGTGCGTGTGTGTGAGTGCATGTGTGTGTGTCTGTGTGTGTGTCTGTGTGTGAGTGCGTGTGTGTGTCTGAGTGTGTGTGTGCGCGCGTGTGAGTGCGCGTGTGTGAGTGCATGTGTGTGTCTGTGTGTGAGTGTGTGTGCACGTGTGTGTGTGAGTGCGTGTGTGTGTGTCTGTGTGTGAGTGCGTGTGTGTCTGTGTCTGTGTGTGTGTCTCAGTGTGTGTGTGTGTGTGAGTGCATGTGTGTGTGTGTGTGTGAGTGCGTGTGTGAGTGCGTGTGTGTGTCTGTGTGTGTCTGAGTGTGTGTGTGAGTGTGTGTGTGAGTGCGTNTCCCATGAAGTGACAGCCTGACAACACACAGACTAAAGGACTTAAAAAAAAAAAGGTATAGCCCGGCCGGGTGTGGCTCAGCGGTTGAGCATCGGCCTATGATCCAGGAGATCGAGGTTCGATTCCCAGTCAGGACACATGCCCGGTTTGTGGGCTCCATTCCCAGTAAGGGGCCTGCAGGACTCAACCCATCAATGACGACTCTCTCATCATTGATGTTTCTATCTCTCTCTCTTCCTCTCAATAAATCAATAAAGACATATTTATATATATCTATAAAAAGGGATAACACTACAAAGTTACAGTAGTTTAGAGCTACTGAGTTTTGGTGCAAGTGGCCATGTGAAAGCATACCAGTGTGT